GGGTAGGGGTTTCCATACAAGTATTATAGGCAGATGGGACCCATTGAGACCTCAACATAGGCTGGCTGGACTTCTGTTCCCTCTCTCCTCCTAAGGACAGATACAAGACAGCTCCTGCTCTGTAACCAATTAAGCCAGTCTGTTAATTTGTCACTCTTCTTATATGCCCCATGATGATCCATTTCTTCTGCTTCTCTGGAGAATCCTAAGCACTAAACACGACAAACACACCTGCCTGCTAGGAATGTGAAGTAGAGAAGAGAATGGAGGTGTGGAGAAAAGAATGGAGGATGGGAATGAAGGGAATGAAGGGAAGCAGGGAAGGAGGCATAGGAAGAGGGAGAAATGGAGAGGGAGAGGAGGAAGGTGAGAAAGGAGGAGGAAGGAGACTGATGAGTTCCCCTCTACCATCTAGACTTCTACATGCTGGACCAGTCGCAGTGCAGAGACAAAGGGGTGAAGCAACAGCACTGAGACTTCAGCTGTGTGTGACCATGAGCTCCTGTTGACTGTGAAGGGATGCTTGTGCAATGTGCTTGTAGAGGGACTCCATGCTGTCACTGCTAGTGGTAGGAGAGACACTCCTGCCTTCAAGGAACCCAAACAGGAGTCCAGGATTAGAGATCATGCAAAACAATGAAAAGTCCCTGAGCCATACACCTCAGGAAGACTCTCTGTCCTTGGGGGACAAAGGCAGAGTCCCCAGGATGCACTTGTAGGCAGCATCTTGGCATAGACCCCTAGTCCCTCCTCTTAAACACTACTAGGCTTAGGGAAAGCACTCATAAGTGTACTTCCTCCATTGACAGTGAGGCAGCAGGCAAACTCACAAACCACTGCTGAGGGTACCCTGACTCATAGGTAGTGCCTCTGACTAAAGTCAAGGCTAAGTGGACAGACAATCTTAGGCTCTGCCCTGATATTGCCTAACTTACAGGCTGAGGGTCACGTGTTGAGAAAGTTTGTCCTATAAACTAAAGCCACGTGTGCACTCTGGAAGTTCTAGCTTTGATAAAAGTGACAACCTATGTCTGACTGCTTAGGGCAGGGCCCTGAAGGGTATTGACAGAACCCAGGGTAGAGGCAGAAGGCCTGGTCATGAAGTCCCAACCCAGCCTGCAGTGCTCCAACTATACTGTCACAGTCCTGCCACAGCACAGGTCTTTGGCAATGGAAGAGAGTCATGGGTATCTGTGTGCTCACCTTGTCACCAGCAACCTCTGTTCAAGTTTGACCTTATTCCTCTCATAGAAGATGTTTGATTGACAGTAGAAAGTGTTAAACAGCTGCTGCAAACAGGAGAACTGGAGGGGTGACAGAGGCTCAGGTCCATCCAGGTGCATAACCCAAGCTGTGACAGTCAAGGGCAGTACATGGCAGCAAAGCTTGGTTAGAGTTTAGAAACAGAAGCTCCATGAGCACGTGCTTTGCAGGTTGAACATATGCAATGAATAGAAAAAGCCCACACAGACCTCTTTACACAACACAAGGCACTCCAGCACAGCTTTCCTTCTGGAGATATGCAGGGTGGTGCAACATTGACTATCCACAGATTAAGTCAGTACCAGTTAAGGAGACGATGTGACATCTTTCCACCGGTATTCGCGTTAGTGGAATTCAACTACAGTGCCTGGGTGTAATATTCCCATCAGGGAAATGGGGAGTATGGGAGGCTACCACTTAATTGTCAAGATTTTGAACAACCGAAGCCTGTGTTTGGCCTCTCTGGGGTGTTTCCAGAGGATCCTCAGGCCCCTTGTGGAGTCTTCATGCTGGTGTACCTGGTCCCTGTGGGATCACATAGATATGGTGTATGTGCCTGGTGTCTGAACCTGGTAAAAGTCAACCCTATTGAAGCTTGATTCAAAGGACAAACAGGGGAAGTTTGCTTGATCCATTAAAGTTCAGATGCTCTCTTGGCTGTGGGGATTACATGGCATATCTCCTAAGAGAAGTCTTTCTTCTCGAAGAGGATTTAACTCCTAGGACACATTCATATTTCTTGGATCTAGGAAATGGAAAGTAGAAACAAGCAAGACTCCCTGGAGGGAGTCTTAAGCATCTGCATGTGTATTGCTACTGCGAGTATTTGAGAATATAGAGCTCCTTTTGCAGTAGACACATCTTAGGGCACAGAGTTTGTGCAATGGGAAAGCAATCTGTGCTGGTTGGAAGAAAGACCTTCAGGTGACAAGGTGCCTATGAGACCTTGAAACAATCCCTATTTGACTGTAGGACAATCCCTGTGGTACATGTTTGTTGTATGATAGAAACAGAGCCTCTATCCTACCAAAGAGAGGGCCTGGGTGTGGCTTTGCCTGAAGGGGCCTCCTGGAAGGGGGGCATGGAACACTCAAGGGGCCTGTCATGGGAGCTGGTGAGAGCAGAGCAGGGCCTCCAACTGCTACCCCCCCTCCCTGCTGCTAGACTGCAGTCATCACCCACCCCAGGAGGGTATTGGGTGGGATCCCACTCAGTTCCTCCTCTTGGTAACAGAAGCAAACACCCATACCTAAACACTGAGTCGAACCAAAATCCAATTGCAGAGGGAGAGGACAAGACCAGGTTGCAGAAACACATACAGACAGCTGACTTGAACAAGGAGGAGCTAACAGGCCCCCAGACTGATAGCTGGGAATCCAGCATGGGACCGACTCAGGCTTCCCTGAATATGGGTCTCAGCCAGAAGGACTGAGCAATCGAAGGGACCCTAGATGGTGGAACCACGATGTATTCCTGATTGACAAAAGGACCTTGAGGACACATCCCCCATGGAGAAATATTGCCTTAACCTAGAAGCAGGAGAGAAGTCCTAGTCCCTACTTCAAATGACTTGGCAGATTTACATGACCCTACCTGGATGGCATTGCCCTACAGGTGGAATTGGGATGGAGGGATGGGAAGGTAGGGTGGTCAGCTTGCATGTGAGCAGGCTGAGAGGGTAAGAGGGAGGGAGCTTGAGAGAGGGTAATGGGATCAACATGTAAAATAACAAAAACAAACAAACAAACAAAAAAGAAAGTTCCTCCTTGCTCAGACAGGAGACCAGCCAGGTAGAGAATTCCAGAGTGCCTACATGCAGAAACCTCCTGAAATTGTCAAATGAGCTGGGCTAGTGTTTGATTTTACATATACAGGCCTAGTGCTTCAGACTGTCCTGCAGGAGGCTTTAGGTTCCAGCTGGAATCCTGCTGAATCCCTGCCCTGCACAGATCCCTGCTGACACCTTTTTCTGTCCAGCAGAGAGTGTAGCAGTGGACATCTTACTTTGTGCCTTGAGGGGAGCTACAGGTACTACCTGATACTTACCTTTGTACCCTGCAGGGGACTTCAGTCCCCACTAGACACAGTAAACCCTGCAGGGAGCAGTCTCAGCTAAAGGGAACACTTTTCAGTGCAGGGCTCCCATGAAACTGTGGAACCAGAACACTGATAGTTTGAAACATAAAAGCAGCAGTCATTCTCAGACTCCGAGTTTCCCTGTCTGGCTCACCTGGCCCTTGGAATGACAGCACATCATGGCATCTGGTGGCAGTTTGGGTAAAAGAAGCTGCAGCCTGTATCTAGGTTTCCCTGAAAAGCACACCTGACCATGAACAAACAGGAATGCATGAGAGCTGCTCCCCACACTAAAGAACTTGGGGCCCAAATTGACTAGAACTCGGTCAACATGGACATAAAAGTCTTAACACAACCTATCCTAAGAGGGAGCAGTCTAAAGACTTGGGATCTGGAGTAGTCACTGTGGGAAGTGGCATGAATGGCTCTCAGATGGGCTTGGCAATTGCAGAAGGGTGTGCATTACAGCCTTCCTTTCATCCTAGCATTTCTGCCTTCTCCACCCTATCCCAGATGCCATTACCACTCCTGCATTCTCCTGATGTGACCCTTCTTTTGAGGATATCATTTCTCACTTAAAGAATAAGTGTTTACACATGAAATGATGCCTTGCTTGGAATTTAGCTAAAAATACACAGTGGCGAGGCTGTCGGGGATCTACACGGTGTGGATTGTGAACTCCTGGGCAGTGGCTATGGGTGCTTCAAGACCATGTACTTTTTGGTACATTTGTGTTTGGTAGACCATGTGCACTGAAACTGATTTCGTGTGAAGTGCTGATGCCTGAGATGGGAGCAGCCAGGAAATGACCTTAGGGTTGGAGGCTCAGGGATAGGTGAGATGTAAATGGTAAGGTACCTACTAGGTTGCTGAACGTAGTGAGTGAGAAAGTGTCGGCTATGGGAGGAAGTTTGGGTGGTACTTCTAGTGCAATGGATGTGTCAGGCGCCATGGAGGCTGCAGATAAAGGCAGCATGAAGCGCTGGTGGCCTGGGTACAGGGATAGGAGAAGAGGAGCAAGAATGGCAACCAGGTTTAGACCAAGGAAGTGGGTGGGGAGTTGTGATGTTTGCTGAGCTGGAGAAGGCTGGTAAAGGAATAGACATTTTACTTTTCCTCCTTTGGGAGTCAGAGGAATTCTGAAACTGTGGCTGAAGCTGCTAATCCTCAACACACATTCCATTCCCAGTCCCCTGAGCTGGGGCAAAAAGCCAAGAGCTGAGCTGTACCCCCACTGGCTAGGCTTCCAGTTTCCCAGTCCTTTGTTTCCCCTGTGTGCTGTAATGAATGACTTTCCAGAAAGACCTGCTGGACATCTTTCATGCTCAGTCAGGAGGCTCTGCCTGTTGCATCTGGGGAGGCCATCTTGTGGGATTAGACTTCCATGAAGGGGAACAACAAAAGGCTAAATGGATGCATAGTGAGGATGGGCCAGTGTCTTGCCAAGCTCCAGATGCCTTTGGGAGCTGATTCTTCCACTGTTTGCGTGAAGACAGATTAGGATAGGCATGATCCTTGGTCCTTTTTCCATTGGTTCATGCTACCTATAACTTCTCCATTGGACATGGTTTGCAAGAGCAGAAGGCATGGCTGACTTTGAGAAATGATTCTGAATGGTAATATGTATCCCATGGGTACTGGGATACCAATGCACTACTTACCAACAACCCTGGAGTCACTGAACGTGAACCCGGAAATAACTTGGCTCAGGTCATTTGTATTTTTAAATCCTCGTGCGTTGACATTCACTTGGTAGGGATCTGCAAGGAGAACATTAAAGTGTTGGAACAGGAGAATTGGTTGCCACATTCTCTCTGTTCTACATTTCATGAGGGGCTACCCAGAAGATGGAATTCTCAGGTGCCTTATTATATAGCGGCACTGTGTGGACCATCATCTATGATCACTACTGAGTATCCATGCTAATGTAGCTGGGAAGGATCCTGAGAAGTTAGGAGTCCTACTGCAATCCATGATTCAATAAGTACAAAGTCATGAGAGTCCATCCCTGTTCTGAGCTATGCCAACTCAGCTGAAACCTTCCTGCTTGGAGACCTCACACACTCCCGATCCACATGGGCACTGTAGGAGAGGCAGGGCCCTATCTGCACAGGGTTAGGGATCAGCATACTCCATGATGACTGTGGTACTGAGCATGAAGTCGATCCATTGTTTTCTGTGTTTCTCTGGATAGGTCTTGTTCCTGAACCACCCAAGAAAATACCTGAGAGGACAGACTGGTTTCTACTTAAAACATCACATGATTTATTTCACTCTTAGTTATAATCCACATGTCACAGATATTATACATACTATTCCTATGTAACAGACAATATAAATACATGCCATAATTCCCATAAATATATACTAGATACTACAAGACACATAAAAGCTTAGACATGTAGTGTATATCATAAGAACACATCATGTGGCTCTTACACATTCTATGCCCTTCCACACAATACATAACAACATAGAACACCCTAACATACATAGCACAGTCATTATCACACTTTCTCCTGACATGCCTGTTTTAGCCACTTGTGCCACAGCCTTTCCACAAACTGTATCACATTATGTATATCATGCATACACATGCTCTCGCACATCCATCCAAAGCACACTTATCACACGCATGCATTCTTGGGCTTTTCTGTGTCAATGTTCCAAACTTTCAGACTATTTTCCTGCATCTATTTTCACAGGCCTAAGAACCACACCGTCAGGATTTAGCTGCTGCATCACTCCTGATGCCAGTTTTCTGTATTAGTTACTTTTCTTGTTGAGGTTGTCAAACAATGCCAGAAAAAAATATCAACTTAAAGTGAGTTTAGTTCATAGTAAGCATGCAGTCCTTCATGTAAGGGAAGGATGCATGGTGGCAGGAACATGAGGCATGGGGTCATATTGCATACACAATCATAAATGACAGAGAGAATGCCAGAGCTCCCTTCCTTTCACCTTGTTATTAATCAGCTTGGGATCTCAGACCAATGGATATTGCTGTCTGTATCTAGAGTGGTTTTTCCCACTTCAGTTTACTCAGTTGAGAAACTCCCTTATGGCCATGGTAATTGGTTTGTCTACTATTCCAGATTCTATGATCAATACTATCACTATATACATTACATGTACCACATACATCATGGAAGCACCACACACATCCCCTATAACCCTCCCTCAGAAACAGTACCACAACATATACATACTCATGTAAATGTACACACTCTCTTGAGAAACACCATTTGCCCATGTCTGTGACCCCTCAGCTCTTACCTTTTGTACACACATAGCAATGCTTCACAGAAAAAACCTGAATACAGGACTTGGAAGCAATCTGAGAAAGGGAGATGGAAATGGAAATGGAAAAGGGCAGGACAGTAAGCCCCAGGGAATTCATTCAAGGCCCCCCAGTCTTTCCATGCCTCTTATTTATCAAAGATGTCTTGCAGAACAGTTAACCCTTGTTTTGTTTCAAAATTTTGATCTGGGCTGTCTGCAACTTGGGCCATCTATGACAGGATGTAACATTGGATGTAACATACTTGGGGCAGGAACTGTTGCTCTCAGGCCATGGTGAACCGAGGGTGTCAAGCACTCTCTTGATTTCATTCAAAGCCCAAATGTAGGCAGTGCAAAGCTCTCCTGCCCACTCTACATAGTAAATTAGGTTTTGTTTAACCTAGTGAACTGCCCTTTTACACAGCCTAATTCTAGCCTATAGCACCTTCGGTAGATGAGAATCCCTCCTTGGCACTGTAACAATGCTTCATAGTCTTGCTCTGATAGCTAGCCAGGGGCACTTGGTAACCTGATCTGACTTTCTTGCCATTTGCCATAGTGATACACACCCACTGTGAGAACAGTGGCCCACTATTTTATGGAAATGTTGGCCTAAAAGAAAGAAGATGCTGAAAAAGACAGTCCCTGAATACCAAAGGTATAGTGCTCACACTTGTGGCCTGGACTCAACAGGGTCTGCTTAAAATGCTTGTCCATCAATAGCCCAACAGTCATTACAATTATGACTGATTTTACATTGTTCTCTTCAGAGGAAGCAAAAATTGGGTGGGATTCTTAGGGGACTCACTAGGAATGGCTCAGTGAGTGATGCTGCAAATGCAGTGCTGTCCACTGCAGCAAAGCTTGTTGTCCCTCTGTGTTTGGTGTCATAGGGTGTAAAGAAGACTTGTGCACTATATTATACAGAGGTGGTGAGACCATACCATTAGGCCTGACCTTTTATATCCTGGCTGTGGAAAAGTCTAAGTGCAGTCTAGTTACTGAGCTGTAAACGCAGCCTCTCCCTGGGCTGCAGGAGAAGCAGGAGGGACTCCTTGATGATGATGCCCAGTGAGGCATGTGGAATCTGTGTCCAGCCAGCTTCAGGCACAATGTTATGGATATATTACTGGAACAGTAGGCCTACCAATTAACAAGTGCAATTAATATACTAAAAAAAAAAAAAATAACTTTCAGAATTGTAAAACTAGCTTAGTCAGTATTCCTGCTGAATGCAAGGCTGCACCTGATAAGCAGAACCCAATGATACCACTCTCTCAAGATAGCTAGACACAATCCTAGACACTATGATGACCACTAGACGCTATATAAGAATATATGTATGTAGGAGACCAACAGCAGATGGTCTGCTCTGCCTATCAGGAGAGACCCCACTTTGATGTGCCACGGGGATGGAGAGTGTCCCTAGCATCCTCACCCTTGAATCAGAGACTTGTGTTAGTCACTGGACCTGACCTTCACCTAAGATACTTAGCACAGATGAACAATCTTGAGAAGATAGACATAAGATTGTAGTTAGGAATTTATAGTATGTGCCTTGTATGATAACCCTCAACATAATTAAATACAACTTCTCTTATACTAACTGCCCCCTTGCTTGCCACAGAATTCAAGTCAGAAAGTCTTAGTGACCTGACCAGCGGGACCTAGTTATTCTTGGGTCGAGTTGGGCTAGAACCTGAAAAAAATGGGAGAGAAAGAAGGAAGGAGACCAAGCAATGCTTGTCAAAGTCTAACTTCATCAGGCACAAAGAGGGGTTTTTAAAGCAAAAAAGGGAGGGAGTGGGCAGGAGTAGCTGTGCTGACTCTGGGGCTCTGGCAGTTCTCAGTCCATTGTTATCTGCTTATCTCAGTTCCAGAAGTAAACAGACTGCTCATTGAGCAGTTTCCTATTTTGCCAAGATAAGGCTCAGCTAGAGCTATGGCATAAACAACTTTGCAAGAGGATGTGGCTGAAGGCTGGCTGCAACTCCAGGCCGGCTCCTAAAATATCCCCCTATGATTTTTATTTTTATGGAGGGTCTGTCTTAGGCTACGCGGTGGGCTCCCACAATCGGGACCCTGGGGATGGGCTTGTCACTATGTGACAAATGGGTAGGACCTCTGTCTTAGGCTGCATAGGGTGCATCCGCCCTCAGCACTCAAGGACATGGTCAAAAATCGGGCAAGAAACTTGGGCAAGAAGAGTGGGCTCCTGAGAGACGGCCCTATGCTACTCCCGTCATTGAGATACCTACAGCCAAATAGGAGGGCCTGCATCCGATTTGTGGCACCGCGACATTCCCGTCATTGACGTCTCCATATTTGAGAGAACCAGGTCCTCTGTTGTTCGAGTCCTGTGAAATCAAGTCCTTGTCTAGGGGGATCAGAACTGGCATTGTCACCATCCTCAACAGGTTCCTCAGGGGAGCCCTGTTCCTTTTCCAAAAGCTGATGGTAGTGTACAGAAATATGTTTTTCAAGCATGGAATCAATTTGAGTTAATTTCTGGAATGCCCAAGGCCCAAAAGTCAGCAGCAGCAATAATCCCAAAAATGGTCCCAGGAAAGAAGGAAGCAGGGTAGAAAGCCAAGGGGAGGTGGAAAGCCAATTTTTATAGCAGGACTCAACCTGTTCTGGCTGTTGTTTACATTCCTCAAGATTTTTCTGCATTCTATCTAAGCTGTCTTCCACTAAATGGGTCAGGTCATCTTATCAGCATAAAAGCAACATTCCTATCTGAGTGCTGCACAAATTCCTCCTTGTTGTAAAAACAATAGGTTTAAGCCTTGTCTGTTCTAGGGAATGACCCCTGAGAGAGACAGACAGACAGACAGACACACACACACACACACACATACACACACACACACACAGAGTGAGAGAGGGAGAGAGAGAGAGAGAGAGAGAGAGAAAGAGAGAGAGAGAGAAGGTAATTATGCTTCAAAGGACTCAGGTCCCCTTTTCCTCTGTTCTGAGCATCTCACCAAGTGATCTGGCAGCCACTGGGCCTCATCTTCTTCCTGCAAGAAAACACAAACATCCCCTCGACAACCCTCAACACCCCTCAACCCCATATTAGGACTGGGTTGGGCCTTTCCATAGTCTCGTGTATGGATCTTTCCATTTGAATTGAATAATATTCTCTTGAGTTCCATCATATCAGAATCTGTCTGCCACAGATTGCTCATAGGCATCCACATTCAAAAAATTTAAAATGAAGAGTGCATGATTTAATGGATCATGTGGAGACTGGAGACATGACTCCCTTCTCCTTATAAGTTGCAATATTAAGGAGCTATGAGCATGCTCCACAATTTTTTGCTCTTGAGGATTATAAGGAATGCCTGTTATATGTTTAATTTTTATTGGGCACAAAATGTTGAAATGCTTTACTAGTATATCTAGATCCATTGTCTGCCTTTATAATTTTTTGGAACTCCCATGTGAGCAAAACATTTTAAACAGTGACTTGTCACATGCTTAGTGGCTTCTCCAGTTTGTGCAGTGGCCATTAAGAAGCCTTAATATGTATCGACTGTCACATGCACATACTTTAATCTGCCAAATTTTGCAATATGAGTGACATCCATTTGCCATGAATGATTAAGAAGCAGGCCTGAGGGATTTACTCCTATATTAGTTCCTGGTAAATATTGTGGGCACACAACACTGTTTGACAATTTGATGAGCAGTCTCTTCAGTTAAACCAAACTCTTTTCTTAGACTATTCCTATTTTGATGGTGACGCCACCTTCTTAGGGGAGGCTGACAAATGAATGCAATATATAGGGCCGTTTTGCCAAAAACCAGTGGTGGGTGAACAACTGGAGGAAAGTACAAGTATAATAAGAGGGTGTCCATAATCTAGGCGGCAAAGATGATGGACTTTTTCAATGCTTTTTAATAGCAATCGGATGGCCTCTTTGGCCTTGGTGTAATCTGTCTGGAAGAGGTTGGAGCTGGATCCCCTGGAAGAATATCATATATTGGTTTAAGCTTCCCTGTTTTAATGGAAATAGAGGAGGATCCATTGAATGTCTCCCAAAAACTTTTGCCGATCTTGAAGAGTTTTTAAATTTGAATAATCAATTTGGAGCCTTTGAGGCCGGAGAAAGGTCTGTTGGATTCGATGGCCTAGATAGGTGTAAGGAGGATTCTTTTAAAAATTCTCTGGGGCCCTTTGAACATTCTCTGGGGCCAAAATAAATCCGCGAGCCTCCAGGTGCTCCTGTAATTTAGCAAACACTTCAAGACATCTCTCCTCAGCAGGTGCTGCCAGCAGAATATCATCCATATAATGGATAATGTAAAGATTAGAAAACTTGCTCCTGATAGGATTCAGGCAAGCAGCCACATAAGCCTGGCATATTGTGAGACTATTAGCCATTCCTTGGGGGAGAACTACCCATTGAAAGCAAAGGGCGGGTTCCTGAAAATTAATCGAAGGAAGGCTAAATGCAAACCTGGGGCTAACTTGGGAGTGCAGCGGAATGGAAAAGAAACAATCCTTTAAATTAATAACAATTAGATGCCAATCTTTAGGAATAACCATGGGTGAGGGCAAGCCGAGCTGAAGAGTTCCCATAGACTGCATTATTGCATTAATGGCCCTCAAATCCTGGAGCAATCTCCATTTCCTGAAGCCTTTTTAATCAAAAATATAGGAGAATTCCAGGGAGAGGTGGAGGGGATCACATGTCCTGCCTCCAATTGTTCTTGAACTAGTTGGGAAGCCACCAGAAGTTTTTCTGTGGTTAAGAGCCATTGTTCCATCCACATTGGAAGTCAGAAATCCATGCAATGGGAATGGGGGCTGGCAGTGCAACAGCGACCCACATTAAAAATGGCCAAATCCTTTCCTATGGCCTGGAGCCTGGGTGTCTAATGGGAGAGTGGCAACAGAGGGAAATTCTCCTTGCTCCACCTTACCTAGCCCTAGTCCTTTGTCCCAGCCCATTTTACACATCATAAGGAGATCTTTGTTTCTTGGCAGAGTGCCTTGGGCAAGGGTTTGGGTAGTAAGGACAAATTCCATCTCTTCTAAGAGATCCCCTCCCCACAAATTAGTGGAGAGGTCAACCAGGATATAGGGCTAGAAGTAACCTGAATGGCCTTCTGAGTCTCTCTAGTTCAAACAAACTGTTTTCTTAAACTATTACTATTTTGATCATGAAAGCTGTGTGACTGCTGAGCTAATTCTACCTGAGATAAAGTGACTATCAGCTGACTCATTACTTTTAGTCAGTGGACCAGGAAGGTTTGAATGAGCTCTTATATGACCCACAAAGCAAGGTGCCTTTCTTTGATGAATGGCAGTTTGAATTTGCTCAAATAGTAATGTAACCCGATTATTACTAGTTTCAATGTATGGAACTATCTCTAAAACTTGAAGAGCTCTGAAAACATGACTATCAGTATGAGTTAAAGGAATCATTCATTAGAAGCTGAAAAACTATTGCAACAGCTCGCATAGTTCAACTATCTGAGCTGAAGCTGGATCTGTCTGCTTTTCCCTCAAAGGAACCATCAGTAAAAACTAACAGGATTGCTCCTTACAATTTTAGGGAATACAAAAGGATTTATTAGTACAAATGATAATAGTCTATAATCTGATTGTAAACTTTTTCCAAAAACTGGGCAAAAGATGATGGACCAAAAATTTTAATTAATAAAAGCTTGAAAACGTAGGCCCTAAATCTATTCAGAGAAAGGACACTTTTAATGATAAAAGAAAATTAACTCCTTAAGTCAGGAGTGCCATGGCTG